TCTGTCTATCTGCCTGTCTATCTGTCTGTCTGTCTATCTATCTATCTATCTATCAGGGCCTAGCACGCTGGCGATACAGCAGCCTGAACCATAAACATTAATAATACAGTGGGTATTACTCAAATGAAAGCTGCCACTTTTCCTTTGTGGGAATAAACCCCTGGGTAATCGCTGCTCATACTTATCTGTTCCTATAATTGCTTTCTGCAGAATCACTCCAAAAGAAGCTCTGCTGGCAGGATGCTGCTCTCCCTGCTCTCCCCCCGTGTGAGCTGGCCTGCAAGATACCTCCTGTGTGACCTGCACTGCTGGGGGCTGCATGTGCAGAAGAGGGCTGTCTGTCCCCGCAGAGGTGTGCAAACCACATGGACAGCCAGCAGCCACCACGTCAGCCCTGTCTTCACTAGGGCTTTGACTTTCGGTGATAAAGTCGCCATCATTGACCAAAATGGTGAGCACACATACAGGGAGCTTTTCTGCCACAGCCTCCGCCTGTCCCAGGAGATCTGTAGAGTCCTGCAGTGCTCCAGCAGGGACTTGAAGGAGGAGAGGATCTCATTTTTGTGCCCCAATGATGCCTCGTATGTGATTGCCCAGTGGGCTTCTTGGATGAGTGGAGGCATAGCAGTTCCCCTGTACAAGAAGCACCCTGTGCAGCAACTGGAGTATGTGATTGAGGATTCGCAGAGCGCTCTCGTCATCGCGACAGACGAGTATGTGGGGAAAATAAGCCCTAGTGCTGAGAAGCTGGGAGTCCCAGTGCTGCCACTCAGCTTTCGTAGCAGTGGATCTGCAGATCAGACAGCGGTGGAAGACGTGCCCTTGGCATCCAGTGCTTCCTGGAAGGACAGGGGAGCCATGATAATCTACACGAGTGGGACAACGGGGAGACCAAAGGGTGTCCTCAGCACCCACGAGAATGTGCAGGCGGTGGTGAGTGCTGCTTTCTCTGCAATGCTCATGCTGAGGGAGAGGTCTTGTCCTTCCCAGGTGGTTTGGCATAACAGACCTGATTTCTGCACTACTGGGCCGTGTCCTGAAAGTCCCCAGCATTTCTGAGGTGAGCACAGGACTCAGAGTTTGAGGCTCTGAACCTCGTGCTGTGCTTGCAGCCAGGGGCACGGCTTCTGCCTCCTTTCTTGGAAAGCAGCAGAGGTCAGACCTGTTGTAAAAGGACTGCTTTCTTTGCAGTTTTCTTCACTGTGACTAGCAAGGTATCTTTGCCCATAATTGGAATATAACTTAGCCCAGCACTGCACAGTGCTGCGTGAAGTCTGTGCATTATTTAGCTATATATCCCCAAGGCAAAAAATCCATTAGCTCTCTGAGCCAAAAGGAATTAAAAGTTTGAACGAGCCTGCTGACTACCTCACCAGTTTGTTATCACTGCCTGCAACCGACAGACTCATGCCATTAGGGAAAAAGAGCAGGGAATACAGGGTGCCTTATGGACACGTCGTCGAGCTCACGCCTTTCTGGGTGCACAGATACTGCAGTGGCTGGTGCAGTAAGAGAGCCTTGATGGATAGAGCCAGGGCTTGGCTATATCGGGCAAAGAATCTGTTCCCTGACAAATATGCTGATCAGCTGGGAGGCAGCCGAAGCACTGACTGTCTTTGGTCCTGTCTCACAGAAAGCTCCCTGCCCTGTGGGAGGGGGTTGTGAATGGCATGACCAAATTCCACTGATTTTTATTTTTAGAGAGCTGGAAATAAGCTCTCCAGTTGCTAATGTTGGGCTCTGAAGAGTCTGAGGTCTAACACTTTAAAATACCCTGTTGTGAAGGGGTAATTAGAAGCTTGGTATACATTCTGTATATTCTCTTCATGGGACATCAGTTTCCTGCTCCCACTAGTTATCCTTTCACATGTGAGAAGAGCAACGTCATCGATGTCCAAACTGTGTCAGCTGAGTTCTGGAGTATTTCAGGTTTTATGTAATATTTCTGCAGGCTTATGATTTTGTGGGTCCTACTTAAAGTCATTGCTGACTTAATTCTCAGTAGCAAGGAAGGTCTGTGATCTATGTGAACACATACGTTGAAAGAGTGCAGAAGAGGTTCCTTGTGAATGCTTTATGATGGTAATTCTGCTCCTGCTGGCCCTGAAGAGGGGATTTTTGTGCCCAAGTGTTGTTCTGGGAGCGGGGGGATTTCTGGCACCAGCTGTGCAGGGGGGTGCTGGTAGGTTGGGGACCTGGGTGAAGCTTTCCTCCTGCCCTGACATGAGATTACGTGTCTTTTTCCATTAGACCACAGGGCTGGTTGAAAAATGGGAGTGGAAGAAGGAAGATGTTATTCTGCACGTGCTGCCTTTGCATCATGTCCACGGGGTGATCAATAAGCTGCTCTGTCCTCTCTGGGTGGGAGCGACATGCATCATGCTGCCCGAATTCAGCGCGCAGATGGTAAGCCTGGAGGGATCGTGTGTTGTCTTTGAAATTCAGCAGCAAGACCCCATGTGCTGTAATTAGAGCAACTCTGCAAAGAAGTTCTTAAACAATTCCAACCTTTTTGGCTGCGTGCGGTTCACCAGCTGGTAAAAACCCTTTCTGTTGGACGCTGCTCAGGTTGGGGTAAGTGTGCTCTGCTGGAGGCTGCGACTTGTTTGAGTGTGACAGACGTGAACACAACACTGTGCTGCTCCTCCTTGGAGTGTTGGGGGTCTCCTGTTGGGGGTGATCTATTCTCAGTACCCACTGAGATCATCCACACCCAGAACAAGGGTCGTTCATTTTCTGATACAAGGAGAAAGGTGGAAATATTGGATTTTTCCCTTGCACGTTGGCAGTGAGCTGCCTGAAGCTGTACTGCTGGTTGGATATTTCATTTTTAGTAGCTTGCATTTTCCACGTCCTCGATGTTTTGTGTTACATTACATGACAGAACACAGACTTCAGAGTTTCTTACAGCCTGGCTAAGAGAAATACTAATCCATGTCACTTGCATAGAAGCAGTGCTCTTGAGCTGTAGAGGTACAAGTGTAAACAGATCTGTCAGTTTAGACGTAGCAATGTAAGTGAGAGTTTGCAAACTGAGAGCTGCTTGCAGTTTTGCAGGAAAGGTGACAGGAGGGAAACCTTATTTATAAGTGTGTTTCTGCTGCATTTAGTACTGTTTGCTGGCCAAGATAGGAGGCACCAGTCTGAGTGCTCTGCTTCTGTTTTGTTCCTTGCCCGTGGTGGCAGGTAGCTGACTTACAAAGAAGATGAAAAGCAACAACCAGCAGTGAGGTAGAACAGCTTCTACAGTTACTGGCTCCTGGGAGCTGGCACTGTTCATCTACATCCCCTGATATTGGTGGTGGTGTGAGAGGCACTGGAGTTCTGGTTTGCTCTGAGATGAGCAGCGTCACTATTAAGTGAGCAATTTGAGGTCCTGGTGCCACCTGATAGCAGAAAGGGGACCTGCTTTGTCAGTGGGCAGCTTCTTGGGCAAGCTGTCAAGCCTGTGCTTTGTGGCTGAACAGGCCATTTTATGTGTCTGTGTTTATTCATGTGGCAGGCAGCTTTGTCATGCTGGAAGGACAAAGAGCAAACGCACAGGGTGCACCCGGAACCCCTTGATGCTGTGACTCTGCTGTGGAGCTGAGTTTGGACTCTGATCTGAGTGAACTGATGACCATGTGATTCTTAGCTGCTTATTTCTGCTTCTCAGAGAGGCAACCACAGAATATGTGCACTTCCCTTCTTGTTTCAAGATGGCCCTGGCACCTGAAAACCCCACTGGTGGCTGAGCACCGGTTCTTCCGAGGGGAAAAGCCCCAGAATCACAGAGGGGCAGCTCTGCATTCACATCTCCAGAAGGATGCTGTTGTAGAGGAAGGGCAGTGAGGTGCCCTGGCAGCTGGAGCTGGTGATATCTTCTTGATAATGGCTGCCCAGCTTACCTGCTGCCATCTTAATGGTGTCACCCCACGGAGCGTTCTGTGCACACAGCTTGGGGTGCAGCAGGGATGCATGCCCGTCAGAGCTAGGGCTCAGAGCATTGTCCAGGCACTGCTAGGAGGCAGCTGGTGTGGAGCAGAGGAGCGTGCCGATAGCCTGGAAGCAAAGCCAAGCCCTCTGGAGGGCGCGTTTCTCCACATCCTGTGCCGCTGGTGATTGATCGTCCCTTACACCCCATGTGTTTTTCTGTGCTCTCTCCCGACATCTGCAAATCAATGAGCTGACATTGAAGGATGGGTCCGGGTGCCTGCAGCAGGGTGCCTGCCTGCTGCCTCTGATCAAAGCCCTCTGCTGGAGCCAGCAGTGAGGGCGAGTGAGGACAGCGCTGGGGCCATCGCACTGACCCTGGAGGTTGGACTTGAGCAGAGGTCGGCGCGGTGAGTGAAGTTCTGGGGGCTCTCAGGTGCACTTGGGCTCTGAAGGACATCCTTTGCTTTTCTATTCTTTTTATTCCCTTTATTTTTCCGAGGGCCTCCCCTGGGAGCTGAAAGTGGTTTGATCGACACTACAAAGAAAGCACATGAGGGTAAATAAGGCTTTCTTGTGGAGTTTAATGCAAGCTGCCTTTCAGTTCCGGTCTATTTTCACCAGCTGTTTACAAAATACCCTTTGCTACTGAAATCAGCTTTCAGAGTTTCAGTGGAGGATTTTGCAAAAGGAGCCCGAGTTTTGCTCTGCGCTTTTTCTCTTGGTTGCACCTTGAGAAAGCAGCCAATTATAGTGTGATATAAAGAAACCCGGATGGCAGCTAAAACACTTGACAGCCTGATCAAAACAAGGCTGGGAACTTACTCTCAACCTGCTGCAGGCACATTTAGCCTTGAGTGATACTGGCACGGGTTCAAGAGAAACCGCAACAGCATACCCGATGTGTGTTTGGTTTCTAATCACCAACACTTCATTATACAAAATAAATACTTTATTATTACAGCCTTTATTAAATTACATAATTTGTGGTGTGCCTTATAGTCAGATACTGATGCCAGTCTGGTTCCAGTGGTGGTAACAGTGCTCTTTATTTTTTCCCCTTGGTTAGAAGGCGCTCTGAGCCCCAGGCCAGGACTTGTCGCTCCTTGCATCTTTCAGACCCTTCCGCCTGTTTTTGGGAACTGTCCAAGGAAAGGTTAAAAATCAAGCTGTAAAATAACCTCCGTGTCCTGACCAACATCCACTCTCTCACCAAAACAGCATCTGATGCCCAGGGCTGCGTGCGAGCTATTGGTGAGGCCACAGGGGCTCATTAAAGTGTATTGAGCTGCCTCAAGCGTGAAAGTTGCTGCATAAAATCAGATTCTTTTTATTAAATGAGGACATCCATTACTTTGCACCAGCTACTGTACATGTTATAATTCACTTTATAGCACCATCTGTTAAGGCTGTCTCGCTTAAGCTTTTTGCAGCATCTTTTTATTGTAAGTTATTAAAAAATATGGCTGCATCTATTAATCATTTATTAATAAAGGCTTTATAAATGGACCCATACTTCCCAGCAGCACAGTCAGTTCATCCACGCTGTGCAAGTCCCCACTGCATGGGCTCAGTGTGATGCTGGGAGCCCCCCCAGCTGCTGCCTGCCCTGGGGGCCATGGCAGCAGCACCCAGCACTGCAAGAGTGCTTCACTGCCTGGAAGGGACAGCTCTGAGCACAGTGACATCTCCGTGCTGCTGTGGGCATGCACAGTGGGCAGAATGGCATCTGGGAGCTCGTTCCTCCCAGCAGCTGTGTGGGGCGAGGGCAGCTCTGATGTTATTTTTGTTTTCAGCTGAGCGTGAGAACAGGGAGGGCAGAATGCTTTGAAGTCAGAGCGAGCTGCAGCCGAAGGATCCCTTTGTGGCCCTCCTGGCAGAGCTTGCTTCCAGGCTGCATGCTTCTCCAGCTGCATGCAGGCAGCAGCATTTCCCAGTGACTTCTGAACCCACACTTACAGAGTCGGGGCACCCTGAGCCCACTGCCTGCTGAGGTTTTTGGCCAATGTGGGTTCATTCTGAGTTTGGACAGTGAGAACTGCTTGTCTTGCCTTGGGGCACTGCTGCTGCCGCCTGGACAGGAGGGAGCAAATGCTTAAGGGATGAATGTTCAGTTGAGAAAGGCTGTCAGCTGGTTGCATTCAACACAAGGTCAGATCCTGGTAGCTCTTCAGCAGGGGGGATGGAGGAGAGTTTTAGGAATCTGAGCTCACTGTGGTCCTTGCTGCCCCTTTGGCTCTCCAGGTCCTGAGCTGCGGTGCACTGCCTGCAGAGTGACAGCCGTGTCTCTGCCCTGCAGGCACTTTGTCGGTAAGCATGTTGAGATGCAGGTTTGTCACCCTAAGGTTGTTTTGGTGCCACAGTCACTGTGGCTGACTCTGTGTCTCTAAGGTTTGTACCTTCTAAAAATGTTTTACAGCGAGGTGAGGGCCGGGTGCTGCTGCATTGTGCCTCTGTTTGGTGGCCTTGTGAGGTCCCATGGCACAGGAGCACAGTTGCCTGCAGGGAGGAAGAGCATGCACCGTGGTCCTGAGCCTCTCCCCATGATCTGTCACTTCTGCAGACACCAGCCTCGATGATTTAGGCATTGTTTTTATAATCAAAGCAAGTGCAAGCACACAGGGTTCTGATCTGCAACAACCAAGCACCAAAAGGGCGGTGTGCTGGGATGGCCTGTCCCATACTGTTTCAGCTGGAGCAAGGCACTCCTCTTTTCATTCTGCTCCAGACTCAAAGGGGAGGCGGCGGAGGGAGGAGCAGGTCGCTGCTGAATGGGTTGTGTTTGATCACTTCTCACAGACCTGGCTTTCAAAAGTTAGTGTTTTTCTTCCTGTCTCCCCAGCTCTGCCGTCTGTCCTCAGCATCTGCTCGGGAGTAATGTCTTTTCATGTGTGTGGGGAGAAAGAAGAGATGGAACCGGAGCCTGTCATATTTACTTATATTCCTGGCTCCCAGGGAAGGCACTTGCTCCTTTCAGTATGCCTGCAGCACAGGAAGGGTTTAAAAGCTTCAGCCTGGAATAGAGAGGGGCCATCAAACTGCACTGATGAATAAATGATTAAAACCCGAGTCGCGTGGAGCACAAACAGTTTGGGGTTGCAACACACACGAGGCGAAGCCACCGAGGGCCTGGTTTCCCTTTGAAGAGAGGACTGTTTCCTTTTGTGCATGCTGCTCCCCAGCAGCAGCTCTGCTTGGCTGCAGCCACTGTTGCTCTCACACAGATCGGCGGGCAGCGCTACCTGCACGGCAGAGATCGATGCGCAACACAAAGCCAGCTCCTGGATCAAAAGGAGAAGTAAAAGGATGATTTAACCTTGCATTAGAGGTATTGTTGCTGCTGAAAAGGTTTAAAAAATATATATAAATTCAATAACCACTGAAAATGATACCATAATTTTATAAGGGAGAGAGGAGCTGTTGTGTCTGTCAATAGAGGTAGCGGTACGGGTCGTCTATTATCTGTTTGGGTTTAATGGGAAAATCCATGCTGATTTTCCCTTTCCTTTCAGCTTTTAGGCATTTTTGCCCACGTCTCTTCTGGCTCCTTTTGGAGCCTTGCATCAGGCAAAGGCTGCCTGGACTTAGCATACAAATTGCCACTGCCACCTTCCCTTTCCTCTGCTTCAGAAGGTGCCCAGGTTCTGATAGATCTGCTGGTTTCTGTCTGCTTTATACCATCACACGTTTTCCTCTGAGGGCAAAGGCTCTGTTAAGGAAGGAAAAATTGCTGCCTTTTCTTCTCTGTGCTGCATCCCTTCCTTCAGGTGATGTTAGCAGTTCTGGATGCAGGCTGGGGAGGCTGCTGCAGGGAAGGACAATCTATGGGAGCAGCTTGTGTGTTCCTCCTGCCTCATTCACCACCATGCCATCTGCATGCTGTAAGAAATACGTGGGAAAATCTTGCAGCTTGGCCTCACTGGGATTGTTTTAGACCCTCTGGTGTCATTTTTTCCTCTCTCTCTCTCTCTCTTTTTTTTCCCTCTCATTTCCTGCTGGCAAAATCCCACCGGCCAGCCCATGGAATTGCCCAGATACGCTTTTGTGCAGTGGGAGGGGAAGAAAATCAGGAATGTCAGAGGGCTCTTGGGAACAGAAGGTCTTCTGCTTTGCTGGCTCAGGCAGCCTGTCCTGTAAGCCAGCAGTGCTGCGTGCCTGCCCTGGGCTTTTGCTGCCATCATTGCTAATGGGAAGCTGTACCCATTCTTGTTTTCTTGCAGCTAGAAACAGTTTGATTCAAGCCCTTGTTCATTTTAAATGAAGTTCTGGTCCACTCCACGCCATCTCCTGAACGTATTCCATCTAAAGACTGGTACTTTCCTATGCTTTGCACTATAGTGACGATTTAAAGGCTCAGTGTTTCAGCCAGAGGGCTGTGCCCCACTGAACATCCCCAGAGCCAGGCTGGTGGGTGATGGCATCTCTGGGCTCCCTGCAGGCAGGCAGAGCAGGGGGTGCATTTGTGACAGAGGTCTCAGGTGAGCAAAAGAAAAAGAAACAGTGGGCTGCCAATATCCTGTCTGCAGGTGATTGATGTGGTGACAGTGACACGTCGGGTAACAGGGAGGGAGAGATGGATCTCAGTGCTCTAAACCTGACGGTGTCAGAGGATGCTGTGTGTGGGAAGGGCAAAGCTGGCCCCTAGCTGGAGGCCAGCCAAGTCCCCGGCTTGATCGATTAGTCCCAGGTAATGAGGCTTTCCCAGATCCTTCTCTTAAACCATGAAGTTCTAGTTATAAAGCAGCACTAGCTGTTTCAGCTGGCTGGGCAGCAACAAGCCCTCTGGACGCCTGTGGGTCTGCAGAGAGCTGGGGGCTGCCAGCCTTGTGCCGCAGCTCGGTGCTTAGCGCTGCTACAACACATGGTCGGGATCCAGATTTGGCTGAGCAGCAGCAGAACAGGTGGGGATGTTTGGCTGTCAGCAGATCGGCCCAGCAGCGGCTGGTGGCACGCATCCAAAGGCAGCTGCTTATCTTCGGGAAGGGGCTGCTGCTGGGGCGAGCCGGGCTGACACAGAGCTGCTCCCATGGCCAGGATGGTGGCACAAAGGGTTTTATCTGGGGCAGGAGCTGAGCAGATGTGCGAGGACAGGGGGATCCTGGGGTGCAGCAGAGAGCTGTGTTTTGGAGTGATGGCGTCGGGTGTTTGTTTGCTTTGTTGTTGTTGTTTTTTAATCCGAATGCATGTGAAAATAAATCTGCCGCACAGCCAGTCAGACTGGAAGTCTGCCCGTGCTCCCCACAGCTGCTCTGGGCTTCTGCAGGCAAATCACACGGCGAGGATCGAGCAGCTCCAAACGTCTGTCTCCCATCAGTTCTTTGGCACAGGCCCGGTGCCTGCTTGCTGTCACCTGTTCCCCTGCCCAAGGCAATGGCTCGATGGAGCACCAGGGGGAGAGGAGCAGATCCCTGGCTTTGGAGATCTCTCTCTCTCTGTGCTGCTGCCTCAAATGGGAAAAATGCTGTGAGGCTGAAGAGAAAAAGACCTTTGGGGAGAGAGGCTGGGAGACATATAGTAGGGGTCAAATCCTCCTCGATGCAATTTTGCCTGTTCTGCTTTCATTCAGGGCTTCGTGCTGACGGGGGTGCCTGCAGTGTTGGGGCATGGCTGTGTTGTCGGTCATTGCAGACACACTGCGTTCCTTTTCTGCTCCTCTCAACGCCCAGAGGGGCTCACAGTAATCGTGTCCCAGCTCCCATGGCTCTGGGGGTGTCCTTAGGTCCCAACCCCACGCCTGGTGGCTTCCCACTGTGTGCATCCCTTGGGTGGGACACTGCTTCTGTTGGATGTGTAGGGCTGCATTAAGAACAACGTGGCGCCGACGGGGTTTTCTAAGGGCTGATTGTTCTGAAGCAGCCAAGTGAGGGCTGGCAGGGAGAGGTGGTGCTGGTGCAGTGAAGTAGAAAGTAATGAAATAGAGCCCGAGCGAGCAGGACGGAGGGGAAAGGGGCAGCGCACACAGCAGCACCCGGGGTGACAGCATGAAGGAGAATCACTTGTTCACCTCCAATCAATTCATGCTTTTTTTTTCACCACCGCACGCGCCTGTGTGCAGCTGAGCGTGTGCTGGGAGGGAGGGAGGGGAGGCGAGCAGTGTCAGGAGCTGTTAGGAAATACATTTGTCAACAACAGGGCAGGGAGAAAGGAGAGGGAGAGGTGGCCGTCACCGGAGCTGAGCGGGCCAGAGCCATTTATTTATTGATGGCTTTGTATCCTTCCTGCCTTGGGGAGGACTCACCTGGAGGGAAGAGTGACAACGTGTGGAAGAAATGGCTCTAATTTCAATATGTATGTCTGCTTGTTGCTAACTGCTCCCAAGTGGAGCTGCTCAGCCAGTGCAGTATCTGGGGTCACTCATTCCTCTCCAGCAGAGCCAGCTGCTGGACTTTGGTTCAGTTGATGGGTCCTCAAAGCTTTGGGTCCATGGGCTCCTATTTGCTTGTGTATGACTCTGTCTTTCCTCTCTGGAAAGCTGGCAGCTTTGCGTGGCCTTTGAAGAGTTCTGTATGCTCACAGAATTGACTTCTTCTGCCCTGGGCTCTCTTCATCAGCTGTACCAAAACGTGCCATTTCCATCTTGTGGTCATTGAGTGTGAAAGTGATGGGTGATCCCTTGCTGAGAAAAAGCTGGGAAGTTGGCAGTGACAGTGCTGACCATCACTTCCCTCTACTCTTAATATCTGGGTATATACGTACGCATACATGGTGCCTCTTTCCTAGGTTTGGAAGAAGTTCCTGAGCTCCCAGGCTCCCCGTGTCAACGTCTTCATGGCAGTGCCCACCATCTATGCCAAGCTGATAGAATACTACGATGAGCATTTCTCTCAGCCCCAAGTGCAGGACTTTGTGCGTGCCTTTTGCCAGGAGAACATCAGGTAGGTGGGTGCTGCACATCCTGCTGCCCCCAGCTCTGCACCAGGCAGGGGCTGCTGTGGCTGTTGCACCAAGTTTTCTTTTGGACTTCACCTCCTCACCACCAGGCAGGTTGTAGTGCTGTGGGATCTCTCTGACAAGAACAGGGGTGACATTATTTAATTATGAGCTGCTCTTGCGTGGTAAAGCCAGAAGGGGTCTGCCTGCTTATTATACGTGTCACCCGATGTGATACAAGACTGAGAACTTCATCCTGCAGCCCACAGATCCCTACAGATGCTGCTGCTTGTGCTGCAGAATCTCTTAGGAGGCCATCCTGTCTTAACTTAGATCCCCCTATTAGACAGAGAATCTCTTCTGCGTGAGGAATATCTTGGATACTGGCTGAAGGCTTTTGGGTCTTGTAGGGTTTTACATACATGCAGGCTTTACATAACATTTTGTTGGAATGAAAACTCCTTAGATGCTTTCTTATATGGTTTTCCATGTGCAGGTTGATGGTGTCAGGCTCTGCAGCCCTGCCTGTGCCTGTCCTGAAGAAGTGGAAGGCCATCACTGGGCACACTTTGCTGGAGAGGTATGGGATGACAGAGATTGGGATGGCACTTTCCAACCCTCTGCATGGAGTCCGTGTCCCAGGTAGGAGTCTGGAGAAGGTGACACCAATCAGAGGTGTTTTGCTCTCAAGCATTCTTGTTTATTCTCACCACAGAGAACACACATCTTGTCACTGTTTGTCATAACTGGGGAGAAGACTGTGTTGTGAGCAACGATGCTGGTAGAGGAACTGGCATTGGGAAGGTAGGACAAGCCACGAGTGTGTGTGCAGAGCTTGCACTGATACACACCAACCCAGCTAGGCCAGGTCTGTCCTGGAGGCAGAGTACACACAATGTACTCTGCTTGATGATTTCCAAAGTCCTAATGAGTTCAAACACTGTGATGGGATGGCATCTTCAGCTTCTGCTTTGTGAAGTTGTATTTGCATAGGATGTTGACACAGGGCTCTCCACAGAGCAGCTCGTGTCCCGTCAGTCAGTACTGAACACTTAAAATAGGGTGTCTGTTCACTCTTATTTTAGTGCAACTCTCTTGACTCTTCAGGAGTTAGGAATTGTCACACCTCGTCGTATGCTCTGGCTCTGTTCTCTCCTTGTCTTCCCTCACTTCTCGTAGCTACGCTTTGTGACTCCTCTCAATATCTGTGGTTTTATGTAACCTAGAAATAAATTGATCTCAAACATTAAAAATATCAAATGCCCCCACCCTCCCTTTGGTTATAAACGTGGCCATCTGTCTGACAAGCAACCCAGCCCACCACTATGCCACCTTCTCCTCCCCACATGCTGTCTGCACATGCATGGCACCATATGCATCATTTTGGTCTCTGGTCTCCTGGGGACCGTTGTTACCCAGGTGGGACTGTCCTGTGCCTTGTGGCTTCCCCTCACACCCCAGTCCTGCTGGTTGTAGCAGCTGTGCCCTTGAAGGGATTGCACAGGGTGAGGAGAAGCCACAGCTTCCCCCAGCATTGGCTCCTGAAACTGAGAACAGCTTGGGGACAGCGCAAAATACAAAGTGCAGTTAACTTCTGCAGTGTAGTTGTGATTCCCCCAGTCTGGCCAGTGCTTGCTTGCATGCTGGAGAAGGGAAACTCAATTCCCACCTGCACGAGCTTGAGCTCTCTGTGAGCCCCAAGGTGTAGGATGGTGGCTTGAGGTCGTCTGGATATCATAGCAGCCTTGTTATATTTGCTTTTTATTTCATCTTTTGTAGGGGAAATGAGTGGAGGCTCTCAATTTCCCTGGAGACATAAAGGCTGTGTGGATAAGGCAGAAATGGACACCAGGAAAGGCAGTTTTAATTCCAGAGATGTGTCCACGTGCTCTTGAGCAGAGGCTGTGTGTAGCCTCTGGCATTACCAGGTCTGTAGGGGACATGGGGACAAATAATCTCATACAGCTGCGAGCAGAGGAGCTGGGATAAAGGCTAAGTGTCTGTCACACAGCCACTGAGCTGGGGCTCACTGCAGCCCCACGAAAGGAGAGAGAAGAATCTCACAAAGGTGTGGATCAGCCAGGAACCTTACAGACAGAGAGCTATGATTGAATAGGCTTGCTTAATTTATTTCAGGAAGTGTCAGTTGGGAAGCAGATGGGTGCAGCTGAGGCATAATTTACTGGAGCTGTGAAAAGCTTTTGATATAGTACCCTATTAGAGGCTGGGATGTAAGGTCACCAGGTACAGCAGAGTATCCACCATGAATGAGTCAGCTGAGAAATGCAGCAGTGGCTGAGGCAGGAGGAGCAGTGAGCTTCCTGCAAAACAGTGTTCTGGGGACAGATGCTAGGCAGCAGCTGACAGCAGACCCACTTGCTGGCCACAGCTTTATTTTAGCACAAAAGAGTGCATCAAGCATGGCCAGGCAGCAAGGCTGTGCTGGAAGAGCCCTGTGGTTGCAGCATACTCATAAAGAGATGGTGGAGATGGGGCCTCAGCAGGCATCAATGTGTTAAACATAATGCAAGAGCTTGCTGGGCATGGCCAGAGCTGAAGCAGCAGATATTGAGGTTGACTGGGATGACTTTGGTGTCTGAGGTACGGGTTGGCAACCCACAGCAGGGGTTGGAACTGGATGAGCTTTAAGGACCCTTCCAAGCCAAGCCATTCTATGACTTTATGGCTCCGTGACTTCAGACATTTCTCTCAGTAACATTCATTGCCACTGGAAAGCTCCAAAGAGGGAATGTGCCCGTCCCAAAAGTGATCCATCCCAGCCTTCAGATTGCAGGTTCCCTTGGTGAGGTGAACCCAAGAACCCTCACAGCTGCCAGCGGGTTTCTCTCAGAGCAGAAGCAGCGCACATCCTGCTCTGCCGCTTCACGGCCTTCCTTCTGCCTCTGAGGAGAGGTGCTGGGGTTGTCCTGCCCTCCTTCACCCCCTGGTGGGGCTGGGGAAGGGCAGAGCCCTCCATGTCCAACAGGTGTCCTTGGTGCTGTGGCACTGCCCCATAGGGCGCAGATCCAGAAGGCCAGGGAAAGGGGGGAGTTCTCCTTTCCTAAAGAAGAAAAGATGAAAGATTTGAAAGATAAATGTTTGCTTGTATATGGTTAAAACCCTGCTTAAAATGCCTCTGTTTTCACCAGCTCTCATTCTAATCCCCCTGGTGCTGTTACTGTGAAGGGAGATGAATAATTCATGGCTGGAGAATGCCTCACTGGGCCTAATCACCACTTTAATTGGAGGTTTAGATCAGAGGCAGCTAATAGCTCCTACAGCAGGGACTCGGTGTATTGTTGACAGTGAGATCGCTGAGTGCCTTATCGTTGGCCTGTTTCAATTCTCCCAGGACAGCACTGCACATAACAGCATCAAGGTCCCCAGATACCGGAGGACACAGACCGCAGGGCCAATTAAATTTATCTGGGAAGAGCTGACAACTTTTTTAAACAGAGGAGAGCCGGTGAGGAAGAATAATGGTGTCAGTCCTTCCTGACTGCAGCCTGACAGTGTGAACGTGCTGCCAGCTTTGCTGAGCATCCTGGAGTGTGAGGGCTGGGAAGAGCTGAAAGGGCGCAGGGAGGGGAAAGAGCAGGGAGTGCTCCTGGTTCCAGTTCTGAGAGGTGGGCTGTGCTGAATTTCGACTCCCTTCTGATGACACCTGATTTGGGACTCAGATCCCCTCCCTGCAGAACCCCAGGGTCAGGCTGGAGGGGCTCTGAGCACTGATGGAGCTGTGGGTGTCCCTGTTCATTGCAGGGAATGGAGCCAGGTGGCCTTTAGAGGTCACTTTCAATGCAAACCATTCTATGATTCTATGATTTGCAACCTGCACAGCCAACCACCAAGGTCTGGAGTTGGCGTGGCGTGTCTTAACACATCATGGTACATACATGGTGTGTGTCTTAACACGTCATAATGTGTGTTTCAACACATCACCCCAGCCTGAGGAGCTCTAGTCATAGCCTGTGCACAAATTGTATCAGTGCTGACAGCCCCCTGTAGCTCTGATCAATGCTGGGAGCGTTTTCAGCCTTTACAGATTTCCATTTGCAGGTTTATCATTCTTTTGAAATGCCAAAAAACTTCCAGGCTGAACATAAGGACACGGCTCCCCATGTGGGTCTGATTTTACATGTTGGTTCTGCTTTAGCCAAATGCTCGTCTTCGTATTTGTTTGGAGGCATTGTGTTGCTGTTTGATATTTCGTTCTCAAAGGCTGAGACCAGAAGTGACCGCTGTCATTCGGTGCTGCTGCCCATGGCTCAGTCTGCTGTGTCCTGCACTGAGACTGGCAGTTCGCATACAGCAAAGGAGCATCTTCCAAGAAAGCATTGATCTGATCTTAATGCAAAGGCTTCCAGGGCTGGCAAACCTGTGGGAGTCTGTGGCAGCTCGCTGGGCTGCCTGCTGCTCCCTTCCCTGAGCTCTGTGAGGCTTCATTTACTCGCAGTGTCTGCCTGCCGTCTCTTGCCGTGTCTTTCAGCCAGGTTTGGGGCTATCAGCACCAGATATTTTTCACACGGGAGAAAACGTTCCCGTAGAATTCTAGAAGGTGGCCTTGGCAAGCTTGATGTGCAAACATTTGGCTTGTTTTCCGTGATTTATAGCTTCCTTTGAGTACTCTTGGAGTCTCGTGGCAGGTACAAAACTCTGCTGAAAATATATAAATACTCTCCCTGGCAGCTCAGCGGCACCTCAGCTCCTAGTGAGAAGAGCAGAGCACACCTCTCCCTCCTGCTCTGCTGCAGGCCCCTGTCCTGGGCTTCTGGCAGTGAGTTTGGCTGTGTCAGAGCAGCCCTGTGGCAGGAGAAGGACCTGGCTGCCTGCAGTAGCTGATCTAAATGCCAAAGGCAGTCTCAAGCTGAACAGACACATGTCACGGACCTGCCACGTAGCTTTCTGTTTATTTCTTGCCAGATTTGTTAATTGTTAGGGTAGTTTTGCTGCAATAAAATCTCACTCCCTCGTAGCCCATCTGCTCTTAGCTGATCCTGCAGGGATGCCATAAATCTGAGCTACCATGACATATTGATTTCCATGGCAACTGACCAATGTAGCAGGCACCAAATCGTGGTGTCACAGGTACCAGACCTCCAGGGCTTGGCTAGGAGAATGAGAGTGGGACAGGGAAATTGCACCTTGAACTCAAACCCCTGAATTCCAGATAATGGGGAAGGCTCCTGGTCCTGCACACCCCCACCGTAAGGACTTCCCAATTAGAAAGCACCGCCACCACGACGACTGGATGCTCTCCAGGTGGAAAAATCAATCAGCTCAAAATAAAGAGCAGACTTACCAGTGCAACCTGCCAGCCTTCCCAAGCCACAGGTTGCTCTGTGCCCGATGCAGGTTTGCATGCTGGCAGCTCCCTGCTCAAGGGGACGAGTGCCATGAGCCTCATCTTGTGCTGAGAGCTGTCATGTGCCACTGAGATGCAGGGAACCTGCTGAGCCAGCAGATGCCCCAGTGCCCTGCTTGCTGCTGTGCCTGGAGCCCCCCAGCAGGCTGAGGTCACAGGAGCAAAGCTGCCCTTCCTCTGTGCCTTCTGCTTACTGCAAGGGGTGTGCATTAAACCGTGGGATGGGGGTGCTGCAGGTGTGGGGGCTCTTGGCAGCAGGACTGTCGTGGAGCTTAATTGCTGTTGTTGGTGACACTGTGCCACATTGCCTGGCTTTGAAAATTGAAACCTGGGGAAGAATGTTGTGGTTTTGATCTCTGCTTTTCTCCTCTGATGCTTTGTGTACAGCGTATTGATGTCTCATAAAACTGAGATAATCTCTTGCAATGCTGACACTGGTAAGCCTTTGCCTTCTCTGTCAGGTTCAAGCTATAGAGAAGCAGTGAGCCGCTGTAGCAATCATTGTGCTCCTTCTTTTCACATCTTCATGTAGGTTTCACGGTGCAAAACAGCTTCATTACTGTGCCACGAAGCTGTCCCAGTGCCTTCAAAGGCCGTCCAAGGGAGACTGCTCAGGGCTGCAGACACATTTGTTTTCCCAGGCATTTCCAGCACTGCCTGCTCAGCGAATGGAATATGGCACAGTGACATTTGCATGCAGACACAGGACGTGATCAAAGCCTTCCTGAAGGGTAACCCCCCCTGCAAGGAGCTTCTTCAGCGCCAGCACAGTCTGCAGATGCCACTGAGAGAAGAGAAAAGCAGCTGCTCTGCTGGATCTGTATCTGCTGCATCCCTGGCTTCTTGCTGCCCACTGTTTCAGTCCTGTTCCCTTTCCTTCCTAGGTTCTGTTGGGACCCCACTGCCCGGGGTGGAGGTGCGCATTGCCACCGAGAAGGTGAGAGGTGGTGGCCGTTCCTACACCATCCACGCTCAGGGAGATGAGCACGGCACACAGGTAGCACTCAGCTGAGTTTCTGCTGCTTCGTTCACTCTCAGAGCCCTCTGAAACCCCAGGGATCAGGGCTGGGGTCGCACTGTTATTCCCAGGAGCTTAGCTTAGTGCCACGTGATTCTCTCTCGCATTCATTTTATGGCTCAGCCTGCCCACAGTGCATTATGGACCCCGTGAATGTGGTCCTCCCACACATCATCTGAGAGACAGCAACCCCCTGTGTGGGCTGGGAGGTACGGGCTGAGGCACAAGGGCTGCGGGCAGTGGTGTCAGCAGTTGTGGCACAGCACAGCTCTGCTGCTGGCACACTGCCTGCGAGTGACGGGCTGGTGTCAGTGCTCACACCTGCAGTCACACTCACACAGCCCCACCTGATGCCCTTCCTGCCCCGAGCTGCTGCTGCTGGCACACACTGCGTGCCTGCCTGGTTAATAATTCATAGCAGGGGGAGTGCAGCAGTGGCATTTATTTAACACGAGGAGGACACCGTCTGAGCACTCAGCAGCCCAAGAGCCATCTGGCTGGGTTTCAGCACAGAAATGAGCTCCGTGGCACTGGGGCTGTCCTTGTTTGGTGTCCTGTCCTCCTGCCTGTGCCACCGAACAGCCCCACATCCCATTTTCTTTGTCTGTGCCACCGAACAGTCCCACATCCCATTTTCTTTGCCCGTGCCCCCTGGCTTGTGGGAAGGGATCAGTAAATATTTCCTCACCTCCCTCACAGGAGGGCACTGAGACTTCAAGCTCTGTAGTTCAAGGTTATGGAAGCTGTGGTGTGGGAGTGTCAAGGCTGAGGGATCCCGAGGGAGGGAGGGAGGTGACAGCAGGACATGGCGCAGCTCTCCTGGGTGCAATAAGCGCATCCAAGGCCCCATCACTTCTCTGGGCATTTCTGCACAGTTTGGTGTTGACGCTGTGAAAAATTACCAAATGTCACAGCGTGGCTTGCTGGTTCCCCTGTAGGAAATAAACACCTCCTGGCAGCAATAAACGCCTGCCGTCTGCTTTGCTTATATGGCTGTCAGGGCAGGGACCTCTCTCCATATACACACAGTGTGGTGCACATCTGCACTGCTGCACTGATAATAACGAAAGCACCAGCACTGAGTGGCTGTGCTGCAGGACCTAAGCACCCTGCACAGAGCTCAGCTCCCCTCTTCTCTGCACTGCATCCCTCCGTTCCTGAGAGGTGACCACGTTGTCAGGGCCATCTGCGAGGCATTCACACCTTGGCTTGGCTGCCACTCACCAATGCCCTCCCTTTCTGCCATGGAGATGATTTGCTGAGCTGCAGAGAGCCTTGCAAGGTCACTGCCTTCCCCTCCTGCTCCCTCCTGACAACAGACCGTTCCCCAGCCACTAGCTCCCTCCCAACACCACCTTTCCCCCTCTCGCTGCTGGAGGTTCTGTTTGCTTTTGCATTTTCACCCTTTGGATGCATTTGTGCACCCTGCAGACAGCAGCTTGGGGACACTTGGTGACATCTGGGCCAGTCCCAGTCCCATAGCACTGCTGAAATAAGGCAGTGTGTGTGGTGGGAGCATTTCTGCGTCACCATCCAGTAACTGCGAGCCTGCAGCAGGGGACTGGTGCAATTTGCAGAGCTGGTTTCTGGCACGCCCTGAAGATCAATAATGTACTTAGCTGAAAGTTTGCTGGATCTCTTCATTCCTCTCTTCATTTCCCCCCTGTCCCTTGATTGGATTCCTTTCATGCACACGCTCCCCTTGCAGCTCTAGGAGCCCTGTGCTTTCGGACTCCCAGCTCACCCAGGTGTTCCAGGTGCTTCCCATGCATTCCCCTTGCTAATTGTTGCTGCACCTTCTCCTGAGCACAGTGGTGTGAATTGAGACCCTGGACAGATGCTGTCCTCAATGCTTCCCAGAAGTGGTATAAGTGGACGTGGGCTGCTCCAGGCCATGCAAGAAGCAGCTCCCAAACCTCCAACCTGCCTACCAAATCGCCTGACCTCACAGCTCAGCACATGGAATCACAGAGTGCCTGCATGCAGCAGGGCTCCTCCTTACCCCCCCAGGTGCTCTGTCTTTCCACCCCTTTCTCTGTGATGTTTTGGCAGCCCAGCTCAGTCTGAGCACCTCCTGCTTCCCGTGTGTGCAGGAAAGGGTTACAGCTTTCCAGCACCGAGCAGTTTGGTTTGCTTTGTTCGGTGCGATGCATATTTCATACGCTCAGCTTCCCAGCTGGCAGCGGCCTGCAAGCCCAGGGAGCTGCTGGGTATTGTCTCTCTCTCTCTCTCTCTCTGTTTGTTTGTTTGTTGGTTGTGAGGTTTTTGGGCTGTCATTTTTGTTGGCTTTTTCTTTTTCTTTTTTTCTGCTGCTTTCCCAGATTGCTCGCTCGCACGAAAGCCAAACCCCACTCCCTGACAATGGGGGTCTATCAATAGATAAACGGTTTCACAGCTGTACCTAATGCAGCACTCTAGCCAGGGCTTTTTATGGCCAGCAATTTGCTCTGTGATGAGGCTGTGGAGGGAGTGTGCAGGGTGGTGGGCTGCAGGAGCTGGCAGCAGGAGGACGCTGCAGCCATGGGCTTTTCTCCCCTCCCTTCGAGGTTGTAATTATCTCGTTGTTTATCCATATGCAAGCTGTCGTCCTGGACGGGAAGTGGCTCGGAGGCAGCCGTCCCTCCCCACAGCCACCAGCCCCTCCTGCCCGCCTGCCCGCGCCCCCCGTGGCTCTGCCATCTGCCAGCAGCGTGCTGCACCGTGGGGCTGCCAGCTCCTCGCCCTGTGTGCTGCAGGCAGAGGGCACTGGGAGTGCTGCACCTCGCTCCTGCTCTGCTGGGACCTGCCCAGAGCGGGCTGCCAGGAAAGGTCTTCCTTTAGCTGGTTGGTGGGCACGGTGGGAATGGGCTGATAGCTGGGTTGGATGACCTCAGTGGGCTTTTGGGCTGTTTCTCAGTCAGCACAGTCACTGACTGCGTTCTCATTGGTATTTATACACCTTTATTCTTTCTGTCTGGTGTTTGATTGGTGGCCGTAGCTGTATTTTTCTCTTTCCTAGGTGTAAAGGTGGAGGCAGAGATTACATTAGCATCGCATCGCAGTGTTCCCCAGCTGAAAGGTGTTCTTATCACAGAGGCAGCTCCCAGGAGCCTGCTTGGCTCCTTGCACGTTCACATTGAGTCCATCTGTCAAGAACAACCTCTTTCCACCAGCGCTTCCTTTGGGCTGACCTTTGTCACAGCACCCTCAAGCTATCTATTAATCTCTTTATTATCGGTTTAGGCTTTCATCCCCCACCTTCCCATTTTCATCTCCCATCCTTCGCAGGGGAAGGGCTTCACCCTGGACTTCTCCCTGCCTTGGGATAGCCATCCGTGGTCCCCTTGACCAGGCTTCGGTTCTCCAAGAGATGGATTCCTTTCTGTTCCCATGACGGCTGAGGTAGATTTCATCCCCTCTCTGTGCAGCACACGAAGCAGCCGTGGGTGTCCCTGCTCACTGCAGGGGAGTTGGATCAGATGGCCGTCGGAGGTCCCTTCCAACTCAAATCATGCTACGATTCTGTCTCATCCCATCAGTTCCCCCTCGGGGTGCTGGAGGCTGCAGCACGTCTTGGAGGTGCTTCCCAAGGAGGAGATGCTGAGGCACAGAGCCGGGAGGCAAAGGAGCAGCGCCTGCCCCAGGGAGCTCACAGCCAAGGAGAGGAGGCAGCGCTGCCTGGGGTGGATTCACACCAGGAAGCAATTAGAGGCTCCGGGCAGCATCTGCAGTCAGAGCACAGAGCAGCCCCTCTGACCTCGACTTTTAAGTGAGGCTTATGGCAAATGAACCAAAGGTGGGATGCTAATTGAATCCTTGCCTGCGCTCTGCCTGCCTCTCAGCGCTCCCAGTGCGCACTGGGGGTCCTCCTGCAATGCTGGGGGAGTGGGAGATGTGCTGACATCTCGCCTCGTTTGTTACCTCTGAGGCTTCCAAACAAGAGCAGCAGAGGGCTGCTGGCATTCCAGGAAGTGTGTGACACTGCTGGTTTATGGAGATCGTATAAATCAAGAAGTTAGGGTCTGTGGATGGGCTGCAGGGGGGACCGACCATCCCCAAACGTGGGTTCTTTCTGTGGTTCTTTTGGGATCAGCTGGAGTTAATCAGCCTGGGAACTTCTAAAAATCAGTGCTGCCTAAAAATATCGACAAGCACTTTTGGTTTTGGTGGAGCAGCATTTGCTGTTAAGTGTAGGGTTGGGTTCTGTGAAAATAAGAGCCAGCCTTCCAGCTGTGCAGCTGCCCTGCTTTTACATCTACAACCTCCCAAAATGAAAAGTAAATTGATTGTGTTTTTCCCAGCCTTTTTTTATACGAGGTAACATTACAAAAGCAGATGTGAAGTGTGGCCTTGTAGATTACAGTCTGGGCTTGGGGTTTGGGTGTTTTGGGATTGTTTTCTTTTTCCTTTCTCTGTACCATGTCCCCGAGGAGCAGAAGTGTGCCTCTTTCCAGCAGGAGGAAAATTGCTTGTTGTCTGCATTGCCTCCTGCTTGCCTTCTGCAGGGTGCTGCAGGGCACGGAGCTACGGGAGGGATAATGCCTTTACACAAGCATGCAGCTTAGCAGGGACCTCTTAATTATGAATGTGCATGGGAAACTGGGCTGCATGGGAATCTGGTGCCAGGGATCGGGGACCTGTAAGTTCCTTGGTGTTCCATGCTTAGTATGGTTGCTTTTTTGTTGTTTCAGAGTTTCTCTCAGAGTTACAACTCTGAGAACTGCTAACAGGGATCCGTCACTTCCATAAACCTCACACGTATCAATTACTGTCTTCTATTAGTCACTTAAAAGGCTGGGTTGCTTAATTATTTTTGATTACAGTGATCACTTATTTATAAGGTGGGGAGAAGTGCCAAGCGTTTCCAAGCTGAGACGCACAGCACCGGCCGTGGCAGAGGTGCAGAAACCATTTTTCCTCTCTGCAGATGTAAAGGATTTTGCTTTTCCTTGTTGCAGCAGCACTGGTGCCAGCCCATGCAGCGCTGGGGAAGGAAGAGGCAAATGGAAAAAGGTGGAAGGAGAATGGTGCAAGAGCTGCAGGGCACGAAGGGCGCTGCCCTGTCCCAGCCCCCCATCTGGGCAGCGCTGCTCTTCTGCTTCACAGCCGTGTGACATCCCTTTGTAGGCTCCCTCCTAAGAGAGGATGCTCTGATTTGCAGCCTCTGGGCCTGCGGTGCTGCCCCAGAAAGAGGTCCAGGCGATTCTTTTGAGGGTAAGGAAGGGGCTGCCAGAAGTCAAATGTTCCCCACTGACCGTGGCTGTGGCGTTGCGCTGCCTCTCCCAGAGTGATCTGCTGCTTTTCCTAACAGCTCCTCTGCCTCCCTCCCAGCTCTGCTGGTCTAACAAAATGTCATTCCCTCTCCTCTCAAACCTTGCCTTTCAGCTTCCACTCTTTGTCTTCTGAATATTCCTGCTCAGGCGTTTGCAGTGTCTCCCCGCATCCCAGCGAACGGCACGCCGCTGTCAGCTTGCCCCCATCAAAGCTGCTAATTCCATTAAAGTCCATTAGAAACTCCTCTCCTGCCGCTCCCCAAGGACAGGGGGATGGCACATCTCAGAGACCACAAGAAAACAAATGGCCACTTTGAACAAATCGCAGGGCTGCGTGCCAAGCGGGGATTCCCAGCGATTTACAAACCGCCTGCATGGAGAGAGGTAACCTGGAAGCAGACAAAATGCTCACTGTGTCATCACCCACAGTGATTCCTTCCGAGGCTTCATTACAACCCTCTTCTTTTCATGCGTGGAAAATGGAATCTCATCTGGTGTCCCTCAACTTGCTGAGTGCGTCGTGCAGCAGAGCGCTGCCGGGCAGCAGCCTTGCAGGGCACCAGAGCTGCTGTTCAGGTTGCTCCAATGCATGAAAGCTGTTGAAAGGTGCATTCAGATATGGCACGTGGAGAATTGGCTGTGCTATCAGTGGCTGTGTGCTCTCAGCAGCTGCTTGCAGCGTATCAACACATTGTACCTCTGAGATCACAGAATTGTAGGGGTTGGAAGGGACCTCCAGAGATCATGGAGTCCAACCCCCTGCTAAAGCAGGTTCCCTATGCCAGGTCGCACAGGTAGGCATCCAGGCAGGTCTTGAACATCTCCAGAGCAGGAGACTCCACCACCTCCCTGGGCAGCCTGTTCAATCTGATGGGGAAAGGCAAAAACACAGCTAGGTGTGCTGCTGCTGCTGCAGCATCTGCATTACTTGCATATGGCTCTAGCAGGGGTTGGGTGCAGTGGAGAGAAGCCTCAAACCCTGAGTTTCAATGCATGCCGTTCTCAAGCTGCTTTCAGTGGGGTGCTTTGCATCCTCTGTGCTGCATCAGGGAGCAGCACTGGTGACATTTGGAGTTCAGCAAGCAGAATCCTATTAAGATAACGTCACGGCCTTTCTGTTTTACTGTTTGCAAGCCAGCCATAACATCATTAAGTGACACAACAGGGAGGTGCCTGCTGCCAAGGAGCGCTGCTCTAGATAAGATGTGGGTTGAGCCTCTGCCAAAATGCGAGTTGATGTGACGGGAAGCTTGGAGCCCGTTCAAGATTTGGTTTGCAGGAGGAGCAGCAGGCAGGGCAGGATCAGTGCCCAGGGCTGCCCTATTTCTGTACCCTTCCTGGGGGCACAGCGGGCACCGGGCTCTCAGCACAGCCCATTTATGTCGTGCTCACATCAACAAGCAGGAGGCATCAGATGGGGTGGTGTGGAGGAATGCAGGACAGCTGCAGCGGGTCCTTGGGGCACTCACCTCTGCCTTCCCCTCCAAGTCCTGTCGGTGGAGTCACAGGCAGCCTGATAGCTCTGGGGATTGGCTTTGGAGCTCGCACAAGTCATTAAAATGCTGTGATGTGAGGGGAATTCAGATAACTGCTGTCTCCAGCTGAGGCACAGGGGGCTGCTGGAAGGGGCTGGGATGGGATTGCCCTCGGGGGAAGTACTGCTGGTGGATTTGAGGTCTGTGCTGCCCGCTGGGTGATGTGCAGCTGAACTTGTGGTCCAGCACCATCCTTACCATGTCACTGTGCAACTGAACTTCCCTCATTGGCAGTGATGGGCTTTGTATCCCAGGCAGTGGGGGTAGGGCACAACGAGTGTTCTGGGGGCTCAGCCCAGCTCCTGACACACAGAGATATTGAAGGAAATGGCAATTCTGTAGAAGTGCTTGGGCTGTTTGTGCAGGTCAGCACATCCTGCAAGACAGGACATCAGGAAGAAGTCCATTGAAACAAAGACTGTGTCCTGGAAGCATCTTTCTAAACATTTTCTGTTAGAGAAGCTTTGGTTGCATCAAAAGCGAAGTCTGTCCTGCTCTGTGATCCTGCTGGCTGTTCCAGCCTTGCTATTGCCGCGTTCCCTGGTGGCTGCATTTCTTGCATTGCTGCTTTTCAGCATCCCAGCTGTGTCTGTGCTGCTGCAACTTGAGCACAGAGTGGCTCAGCGCTCCTGCTGAGTGCGTGCTCCCTGCACAGTCAGAGCAGTGTGCTCAAGCAGCTCGCAGTGACCTTCTCTCTCAGCAGTGTTTTTGCACATTCTCCCTGCAAAGGTTAACGCAGTGCCAGGAGCAGTGCTGCAGCCGTGCCTCCTCTCACAGCCCGCTTGCATCCTTGTAACTGCAGAGCAATGAACGTGCAGGAGGTGAGAGACACCGTGCCGTGTCAGGCAGGTCTGTAACCTCTCTTGTTTCCATCGCAGCAGGATCTTCATTTTGTTGCTATAGAAAACCTGCCAGTGCAGGTCTGCAGGGCACCAGGCTGGCGCTGAAACCGTTGCCTCGCAGTGAGCCCCAAAGGAACTGTGTGTCCTTGAGAACAAATCAGATGGTGTTTCCTGCCACCTCCTTGGGAAAAAAAAAAACAGTGTTAGATTGACAGTTTGGGAAAGTGAGGCTTCCTCTCTGTCAACACAGCAGGCTGCAGTATGGCGCAGTCACAGGAGTGTGCCTCGTCCCTCTGCCTCCTGCTCCCATCCTCAGCAGTCTGCAGGCAGAATCCCAGTGGGATGCAGTGAGCCGTCCTGCTCCAGGGCAGCAGGTGGGGATGGGGGAGACCTGCAGGGAGGGAGGGGTGTTCTGGGGTGGGACAGGGGCTGCTGTGAACTGACGGGCAGCGTTCTACGTTCTACCCCACGGCCATTTCATGCAGGCAGTCACTCTTTCTCTGTTCCAGGTGACTCCGGGTCTGGAAGGGCAGGAAGGGGAGCTGCTGGTCCGTGGCTCCTCGGTGTTCCGCGAGTACTGGAACAGGCCCAAAGAAACCAGAGAGGCTTTCACACCCGATGGATGGTTCAGGACAGGTACTGTACTGCATCCTGAGGAGGGGGGCAGGAGCTGTGGTTGTGCCCCCGGAGGGGGGTGGAGAATGGGATATGGCCTCACCGGGTGCCCTGCATTGGAGCCAAGGAGCGAAGCGTCTTTGGGTTGCTGGCTGTAAATGCAATATGCAGGGCTGTGCTTTGTGGGACTCAGCCACCTCAGCGCCTGGAAGCAGTCAGTGATCGAGCTGAGGGTAAGCAGGTGTCACATCAGTGACCACAGGAGTGCATGCCCATCCCTGAGGCAGCTCTGCTCTCATCCACCGCTGGTGTCAAAGCTGGACCTGTATGGGCTGGGGGTGTGACTGGGGGGGGGCTCAGCAACTGCCACTGCATTGGAGGTTTCCATGGGATTTCCCTTCTTCATTCCTAATGCCTGGGAAGCTGAGCTCTCTGGGGAGGAATCCCTGGGAGAGACCTTGAGTTGGGAGCAGGTCAGGAAGGAGGTTTTGGAATTGCCAGAACGTTGCATTCTGAATTTGTTGTAAGTGAAAAGTCTGCGGCTTCCGAATAAAGAGAGCTCTGAATAAAGAGAGCTCCCAATAAAGAGGCCTTTTGTTTTGAATCTGTGGCTGGCTTTATTGCTATGTGCTGTGTTTATGAAATTCAAAGGGAGTGTTTCTTTTCCTCGGGATCTGCCTTTCTTATTTGACCGTGAGTGAGAAACGGTTTTGATGTTTGCAGGGATGGGAACAGCTCTGGTGTTTGATTCTTTCAAATCAGATTTCACCAGAAGGTAATACTCCAATAGTAATCACACGTATTGCAGGTGGATCCTTGGTAGGTTTTATCTAATGTCTTGAAAACATCTGGTTATGCTCTGCCAACAGTGCTTTGCCCCCACCCAAAGCTATGCTGGGGCAGCAGGGCCTGGCAGAGAGCTCATAACATGGGATGACAAGCTCAAAGGGGGGTGAGATGGCTGATTCCCACCCAACCTTCACACATGAGCAGTTCCAACATTCCCATTTCCCTTTTTGTTCAGCACACCAACCCAGGAGCACGGGGCTGGATTTGGGATGCCCTCTTTGCCATGCTATCATCCATTTGTGAGGAAGCAGTGGTTTCTTGCCACTGCTGGGCATCCCATCGTGGGCACAGCACTGGGTGTGGGGCAGTCAGCTTCAGAAATTTTTTTTAGTCAACACTCCTGATGAATATTTCAGATGGAAAGGAATAGCATGCATTAATTATTGCAAAGAGATGTCTTTAGGAGAAAATGATTTTGAAATTCAGTTTAATTTCATTGTAATGCGCCGCAAACAGGAAGGGAGTATGTGTGTTTAATTGGCTCTCGGGGGTAAGGCCTGGAAGATGGCATGCCTTTGTCACAGGCCATTAGTGATACAGACTGCATAATGAGAGAGTACAATCAGCTCACAGCTGCCGGCTCCTACGGGGAGAGAATGATATTAAATAGAAATCAGTATAAATTAAACTTAACCCTTTCGCTGGCTGAGCTGAGAGGAAAGCCTGGGGCTGGGAACATCAGAGCGTGCCAGCAGCGCTCCGTAGCCTCACAGCAGCCCCGGGAGGACAGCAGCTCCTCATCCTCTCCTCACCCTGTCGCCCTGCTCTTTGCCTTTCATTTCTTCCCATCTCCTGGCGGTGCTGGAAAGGTGAGGCTGCTGGAGAGCGAGGTGATGCCATAGAGACACCCCGGGTTGGGTCACCACCAGCTGACAAAGCAGTTTGGCACGGTGCTGGCGGGCAGTGCCAAGCCCCATGAGCTCCACTGGGACTTGGAGATTTGGAGAGAGCGAAGCAGGAGGCAGTGGGGAGCACGCAGCAGCCGTAATTTAGCACTCTGCTGATCGCTAATGGCAATCTGAAAAAGCAGCGGGTCAGCAAATGAAGAGTAATTACTGCAAGGGAAGAGCAGGCACTGCTCGTGCTGCACCTTGCGCCGAGCCCCGCGCCGCACGGCGTGGCACCGCGATGGGGCGCTGCGTGCGTTCCTCCGGTGCTCTGCAGCGTCTGGTGCCCTGCTGCCCTGCTCTCGGAGGGGATGTGAGCGCTGTGGGGCTGCGCTCAGTTTGCGTGCACGGAGACGAGGGCGGGTCTCGTTTCCTCCTCTGGCTTTGTGATTTGGGGGTAGCCCAGAACCCCGAAGCCCCGGGTGCTTTCCAGGCTGCATTCTGCAATGTGAGGCTCACAAAGGAATCTTTCCTTTCTGAGCCTTCTCTTGCTGCAGGTCCTTTATTTCCCAGTACTTTCCTCAGGCCAGTTCTCTTTCTGCTTGCAGTCCCTGTAAATCATGCTAGCATGTGCATTTTTCAGAAGGTATTAAAGACCAACACTTCCATGGCAGCAGTCATTTTCCTTCTGATGGACAGCTGCTTTATTAAAACCCATTTTTCTCCCATGAAACTCTCACTGAGGAGAACAGCATCTCATTGAGTGCTGGGGTGGCCGCTGCCTCCGTGGCAGGAAGGAACATCAGTGCTGTGAGCTGAGGGCTCCAGCAGCTCCCAGGGAGGAATAAGGAGCTCTGTGCAACACCTGCACGCCTGTGAGCACCAGAGGGCAATGCCATGCATGCAGGAAGGCTGCACAAACATCCCCCTGCCAATGTGCCCGCTGTGGGGAGAAGGAACACATGTGCACTGCAGGAAGGCAGCCAGCACGGTGCTGCTGTGACCTTTTGGTGCATTCAGGATCTTGGCTGCAATGGGATGCAGCCAAACTCTGGGTGTTGCAGAGGTGATTCACTGCGACTCCCTGCTTCTTGATTTTCTCAGGTTCGCACCGTTGTCTGCCTCTCTCTCTGCAGCTCTCGTTTCCATTTGAGTGAATTTGATTATTTTTATTGTATTGTATTCATGCTGTTGACAGAGCTGCTTAGATCGGAATCCCCTCCGGCCATTCCCAGGGAGACTGCGGGGTGCCCCCATCTGCTGCAGGCAGCAAGAAGTGCTGAGCCCCCAAGGAAGGTGCTGAGCCCCCAAGGAAAGCACTGAGCCCCCAGGAAGGTGCTGAGCCCCCA